GATCCCTGGAATTCAGGAGAGGAGGAGCCTTGACTCCAAGCCACAGAAAGGGTTATAAGAAGGTCACGTATCACAGAGAAAGCGTAGCCTTAGAGCTGCCACTAGAGCCCGAATTCCAGCAGCTTCCAGAGCTACAAAGAATAAGTGGCATGTTTTTCACACTGTAGGAAAACAGATTCCACAGGGAAGCATTAATGCCTAAAAGTGTGAGGGTTTTTCATGGGTACCGTATTTTTTCAGACCATAAGACGCACCTAGGTTTTAAAAGAGGAATATAGGGAAAAAATTTTGAAGCAAAAAATGTGGTAAGATATTTAATAACACCTGGCTGGTGTAGCTCAGTGGATTGAGCGTGGGCCTGAGAACCACACAGTTGTGGTTCGATTCCCAGTCAGGGCACATGCCTGGGTTGCAGGCCAGTTCCCAGGAGGGGACACATGAGAGGCAACCATACACTGATATTTCTCTCCCTCTCTCCTTCCCTTCCCCTCTAAAGATAAATTTATTTTAAAAAATATTTAATAACATAATATTTCACCAATATAAATGTAAACAGAACACAACAGCATTAACTACCATGATGGGGGGGTGCATCTTATAGTCCAAAAAATACAGTGAATTTCCAGGGCGTTGCACCTGAGGAAAGCAGTACCAGAAGGACATGACAGCAGTACCACCTGCCAGCTGGTGAGCCCGGGATGGGAGGCAGGGAACAACAAAAATTCATCTCATTTTTTCCACCTGTCACGACTGCTATTCTGTAGCGGTTTACGCGACCCCATCGAAGCTGAGAGGGTAGGATCTAAGGGCAGCTGTAATTTCGCTGTCTCTCCGTGACTGAAGTCCAGTTCAAGCAGCAGACTCCTACAGAAGCAAGTCCTGCAACAGGGACAGTGCGAGCCAGGCAAGCAGGAGACTTGAATTCTGTTCTCAGCTTTGCCAGGTGTAGTTTTATCGACCTTGAGCAGGTCAGTTTACCCCTCTGGGCTTTACTTTACTTCTGTGTCTGCAGGGTTGTTTGGGAAAGGGGGGCGGGGTGCCACAAGCAGGCCCCACCTAATCCGAAGCAGCCATGCTTGTCAGGTTGCCCTTGGTGGGTGGGTGCTTCCGTCTAAACCTGTCTGTCTTTAGGGTTTTTTTTTTTTAACTAGTTAAACTGCTTGGTAACTTGCAGCACTTCGACTGCCTGTGTTCAGTTCTGTCGCTTTCTCTGTGTGACAGCAAGTCTGCTTGTTCTCTGTAGTTCCCACAGCCGGGAAAAGACCGCAACAGTGATCATTATGAGGACTGTGGGCGTACGAGACCACGTCTGGCACACAGTGAAGGTTCCTCAGACACGTATCATTTTAGGCAATAAAGTGTCTTTACCGTTTCCTTAACATAACCTTTGGTGTGTTTTTAAAAGATTTTTAGTGACTTAAATAAATGTGTGAAATCTTACCAAATAAAAATGTTTCAAAAACAGACCTATAAACTGAAGGTTCAACCTTGAATTTGAAAAGGTGTCAATAAAGGCAAGCCCCTTAGCAGATTTAAATAACAAACTCAACCGTCACAAGCCAAAAAATTCTAGAATTGTTTCAACGTAGCTTATACCAATGAATGTATAATGTTGCTCTGCCAAGAACTGGTAACTAGTTTTTTTTTTTTACCGAAATCCCAAATAACTGCCCCTCCAGCTGAGTCAGGAGGTGAAGTGACCCAAATACAGACTCTCTCTCTGCAGAGCTTTCAGTTCTGTGCTGCTTTGTTTTTAATACAATTAACCTCCACATCTATTGTTATTAGGCTGGCGATTAATAATCTTTTGCTCCTCCCTCAATGTTTCAAGAAAAATCTTTTCCAAATTATTTTGGAATCCTCTAGGCGGCCCTGAGGGCCAGTGAGCACACGATGGAAGGGGTGGGGCCGGCGGGCGAGGCAGCTGGACCGGCGTGAAAACTGCGGCACCGGCACTGCCGCGGGTCCCAGCCCGGGCCCCAGCGCGTGCCCACGCGGGTCCTCTATAGGGACTGCCAGCTCTCTCCCAGACACCCGAGTGAACACTCTGTCCCAGTGTCCTCTGTATTAAAGAATATTCCATGGTAATTATTCATAATTGAAATCTGTTTATATGACTCCATAGTAGACGCTTGTGTTTGAAATTAGGCCCAAATCTCATTTCCCACAAATTAAGTCGTATTATACATCAAAATGCAGGACAGGAATCTGGCCACACGAGTCTGACGGAGCTGAGGATCCCTTTCCCATCGCGTATAAAGCGTAGTTGGGTGGGTTGTTTTTCAATATTCGATTTCTGTTTATAGCTGCCAGACCCTATGCCCCCCAGCTCACTCCTTGTCAGTGAACTTAAAACCACTGAAATCCTCGCATAGCTATGGGAGAATTTTAAGTTCCCCATGGACCATTCTGAGGGATGGACACCCTCCAAAAAAACATCTAAAACAAAGCACTATTTTTAAAAACTGACTGCCCTGGCTGGTGTGGCTCAGTGAATTGAGTGCCAGCCTGTGAACCAAAGGGTTGCTGGCAGGTCCCCCAGTAGGAGGCACGGGAGGCAACCACACACTGAGGTTTCTCTCCCTCCCACCCTCCCTCCCTTGCCCTCTCTCTAAACATAAATAATATATTCTAAAAAAAAAAAGAAGAAGAAATGGTTAATCTTTACATGTTATGCGTAACATGTAAAAATGGCAGCCTGACCTTGCACGCTGGTTTCTTCTTAGAAATGCGTTAGAGGACATTTCTGGGGCAGATGGACATAGAGACTCAAAACACTCATCTGAAGGGTAAAAGGCCCTAGAATATTGAAAACAAAAACCAAAAAAAAACGCCTTTAAACTGTAGACCACGTTATCTCAACAGCCTGCTTGGCCCAGCCCCAGTCTCAGACAGTCCTGGGGAGGCTTCTCGGGTGGAGCGATGACCTGCATCCCCCGCACACACAGGTGAGACCTGAGCCAACAGGAAATGACCAAACGTTACGTCCTGCTGGTGGGCCAAACCCACGTGCAGTGAGAGCGGCAGCCTGGACCAACCATGCCGGAGGGTCTGCGAAAACCATGAGCCAGGGGCACTGTCGAGTGTCCCTAAGAGCACACACCAGTCGGGACCAGCACAGGACTTAGCAGAGGAGGGAGCGCGGACACCTGGGTCCAGCCTGGTGCCCACCTCGGGCATCAAAATACAATCAAAAGAACGTCACCACCTACCAATGTGGCAATGGGTTGGACCTTGTTTTGTGCTTTGTTTTGTTTAAACCTGTCATCGCTTTTACAAATACAACGAAGGGAATTTCACTGGCAAATAATTGTTCCAGGCCACCTTCTTTGCCTCCCACTTCCCACTCAGCCTCTGCTTGTTGCGGGGGTTCCTAAGCTGTCCAGAAAGAAAGAAAATGGACCTGGATAACACGGGTCCCCTGGTCCCCATAAAATTAAACCTGCTTCCTGTGCTGAATCTCACCAAGGCTGTGACGCTGAGCCACTGAGAATAATCTCAGACCACTCGGCAGACGGACAGTGGTGCGTCCCTTAGCCACGCTCCGATGACCAGGCGTTTCTGAAACGGGCTCCAGTCTTGGTAAAATTGCACTGATAGCAAAATTAAGACTTATTCAAGGTCTCACTAGCAGAAACTGACCTTTATAACACTGAATTGTCCTAATGACTTAGTAAATACAGAATGTGCTGGCCAAAGTGAACCTATTTGCAAAAAGAAAATGTGTTTAATTTCATATCCCAAGCTAATTTTTTAAAACCACAAAAATCGCACATGATTATTTAATTGCTCACTTTCAAAACAGATATAACTCATTTTATGCATTCACTATGTTCCTGAAATTTTGTATGAAAATGTTCATTTTTAAAAACTTAAAATTGTCATTTGAGGTGCTTTATCATGGTTTCACATTTATGTTTCACTTGGAATAAGAACTGATCTTTTACTAAGTTTCTATTTCACCCAGTCCACCATATAAATATTCCATAAGAAAATATTTTAAAAGAGCCCGAGGACATAAAAGAATTCTTTCTTGCTATAAATAATTACTAAATACTCTCTTTTCTACGAAGAATTCACAAACCAGGTCTTGTTCAAATGGTGTGCTTATCAAGTCTGCACAGTTCAACCCTGAACTTGACACACTAGCTGTCACCCTTCCCTGGAACAGTGTGCCTTGCACACACAGCCTGGCCTCTGGATGGCCATGGCTGCCCTGGAGGGCACTGCTGTCCCCCGTACCCCCAACATAAGCCCTATTCCTGCAAACACAGGACCTTTCTTCCGCACCCACGCTGGGCCCCTTGGGATGGGAGAGTTTTTAAGGAAGGGCAATTCCAGGGACAGCAAGATTTAAATCTTCACAGTCCTCTGTGAAAGCGATCACACATGCACAAAACACCCCCCCCACCCAAAAAAAATAATGCACAGGCTCTGCACGCACGTCTCGAGGGAATGAGGACGGCAGCAGGGTCTGGGGAAGACTACAGCCCCCGGGTTCCAGCGCCTGTGTCCTCCAGCAGAACAGTGGTGCTGACATCAGTCCTTGCGGGCCTCTATTAGCTGGTTGTCCCCGTGGTTTTCAGCCCTCCAGTCGAGCAGTTGGAGAGAGCTCCCCCAGGTGTGCCCTGAAAGGCAGTTAAGGCCACGCAACAAAGGTCACACTCCAGGCCCTGCCGGTGCCGAGTCTCGCTTCTCCGGGCACTTCCACGAGATCACGTTTCCACCTTTCACTCCAAAACTGCTATGATTTCCCCCGCAGCGGGTGGAAGAGAGACGGAGAGTAAAAACAGTACCTCACTGATATGCTGGGCGGCCCAGCACAGCCCTGAGTAACAAGGAAAACTGGCTTTCCCACCCTGACGCCTGGGACCGAGGGAGGTCGAGAAAGGACAGTACGGACTGACCCGCCACAGCTAAAGGAGAACCTGCACAGACGAAGCCTGCCCTGTCCCGACGGGGCTCACGATTCTCACTGGAGTCCACGCTCCGGCCTCTGACCTCTGCAGCCTGTCACCTCAGGGCTGGGCATCACCGAGACTGGGGTTCTGGGCATCCTCTTCCCTCCTACTCTTCTCTGCTGGGCTGCACCCACACCCGGTGACGGAGGAAGCACACCCACGAAGGGTATGGGCGTTGAGCATCTCCAGCAGCAGGTCGTACACAGGGACCACGTTTTTGCACTTCATGCTCAGCAGGTGTTCCATGCCCTTGTTACTGTGGGGAGGGGGGAAAAGGACTGAGATTCCTTCCGGAGAGGTGGCCACAGCAACTTTGAACCCTCCCCCAACACAACCAACTCACCATGCCCTCACTCTTCCCAGAGCCCTTTGTTCTATGGTTTTTGCATCTGGCTCCTTCACTAACCTACACTTAAGGGCAAGGACAACATCCTGTGACCTCTGGGTCCCATCACCACCCACAATGGTCTGGCAGCACCTGGCACAGAGCGCAAACAATTCTCATTGTTCACGGCAGTTACACTGTATTGTTACCGCCAACACTGAGTCAGCAGATATTGAACCTTTGTTGTGGAGGGAAATACGGGTTTACAGGACCTCTGCTCACATCTGCATCAGCCTGTTATTCATAACCTTGTTGTCTGCGTGTTTTTGTTTAAAGACACCTTGCTATATACACTGTTGACTCAACATTTAACTCACAGCCTACAGCGCTATGGCTCACACTGGAACAAAGTTTGTCTAACACACGTTTTCTCTGTCAGGCGCATCACAGCCGCCTGCACTTAGGAACCCGACGCAGCACTTTAGCACTGTGTCTGGAGGCCGTTTGTGGACAATGCGATACCCAACAGAAGGCACAAAAATGCAAAAACATGGCAGCCAACAGACCACAGGTGGGACAACTGTTACCGTAGGAGAGCTGAGACAGGAAGGCAGGGCCTTACCTCTTGTTTGACCTCATCTGGGAATGGAAGCACAGGCAACGCAATGTTCTTGCCACTTTGTGAAATGTCCCCAAATGACCGCACAGCACCATAAGTAATCCATTTGGGGGCTTACGAATAAAGTGTAGCAAGCAGGCAACAAACGCGGAACCCGTGAATAACCATGAAGAGTATCTGCCCTGCAAACGGCCCTGTGCCAAACAATCACTGGAGACAGAGGTCGTTTCCATTCCCCAACCAGTGTCAAAATTCGTGAGGGGTGTGTTGTCCTTCCCATGGCCCCCTGTCCCCCCCTCATCCCGGGTGACACCAATCCATCATCAGACATCACACGCAGTTCACCACGGCCCTGCCTTCCCACATGACTGTTCTCTCGGGTCTGAGGAAAGAATGACCCTCAGGGAAGGCCACGGGCCCTCAGAACTGGGTCTGGGAGAGCTGGGTTTGGCCTCTCCAGGAAAATGGCCGCAGGGCTCCAGCCCTCGGCGCAGGGCGGGTGGCCGTTCACTCTACGAAAGGACCTGCGCCTTGCCCAGTGCCATCGACAAGCTAAAACCCCATGGCAACTACAATTTAGATGAGCCACCACAGGATGCCATAAAGATCCTATCAGGTGCCACATGACAGCTGATCAGTGCCCACGGTGTGCTGACCTGCCGTTACAGGCGTGTGCACTGAGGGAGAACCCCCATTCCCTTGTGGGGGTTCATCTCCCTTCAAAGGTAACAGTTCTACAGTATCCACTGCAAACTTGGAAACACTCCCCCAAGCTCTTCGCCCTCTGAGCATGCCCCCACGTCCCCGGGGCGGTGGCCCCACAGGGACTGTACCTGGCGTGCCTGACGTGCGAAAGGAGCATCAGCAGGTTGGCCAGGCGGACGGACTGCTGCTGGGAGGGGGCGCCACTCTTGGCGATGACCCAGACCAGAGCGTCGGTCACGGCGTTCAGCAAGTGTGTCAGCTTCCGGCTGCTCTCGGCCTCCTGAGCTGCTGCGGCTAAAGGATACATACCTGGACAAAGGATCAAAGCCAGTTTATTGCCCCGCGAAGAGAAAACAAGTTGTGTGCATGAGGCACGTCAACGTTCTCCTGAAAGGTAGGTTGGTCAAATGGGTTCTGACATCTGCATGTACGGTGATATCTTAAAAACGTGACTTTACCTTCCCACGGTGTCCCAAGGATGAGCCCCATGGCTGAACAGGAAAGGTAAGCCTGGCTGAAAGGGGGCAGACTAAACTGCCTGCTGGGCCCGGAATGGCGGCCTTGCCTCGTAAATGTATCTAGTTGCCTAGAACCATTATGTGGTGTATCTTATTTCCAGCAACAAATACACATAAAAGATGGTCCAAAAGTGAGATTAAACCCACCCTTAGCGCGTAGAAGGGCCCCTCGTGAGGGGGGTTTAATAATCATAAACTCAGGACCACTGCTATACAGCCTCGCCTGCCCACACTGCTGTGCGTGCCTTGTGCAGACAGTCGGGTGGGCCCACTGCCCCCTCTGTGCAGCTGTCAGCATCCAGCGTCTGGTGGCACCTTGCTGGGGACAGGAAGGCCACCAGTTTGGAGTCAGACAAACCTATTTTAAGTTCACTGTGCTAGCTCTTTGACCCCAGACCATTTTCCCAGATCTTTATCAAGCAAAGCTTGCAGGCACATGTCCCCTGAGGTCTTCGCAACCATCCCATAGGTAGGTTGCTTCCCCCACCCTGCCCTGCCCGGTGTTTAATTCCCCTCCAACTCTAGGATCTGAGATACTGTGGCCTCCCAATGGCTGCAAAATAACAGCTCAGGTAAATCTGCACCCCCAACCTCCATCCCCACCCCCAACTCCTCAATTCCTGGAAGCAGAAAAATTACTAGCTTCTCTTCTAGGTTTGCTATTTCAAACTAAGAATGAAGAGCAAATATGTGAAACCACCAGGGGAACTGCCAACTTTTGACTGTAATGAGAAGGAAGGATGGCTGGCACTCCGTCATCTACAGAACTGCTTTGGCAATGTCTCATCTCTATTTTTATTGGCATTTTTGGTTTAATTAAGGCAGCTTGATTCAAGGGACATACTGAACCACAATTATGAAAGTATATTACACATATCCCTGGGAACACATCCTCCATAATGTCTGATGATGCAGATTTTAAATATTTGCAGATTTTTTAAATATTTAAAGAGCCTGGAACTGCTTCTCTAACCCACCTGTTCACCTTCTCCACAGTGACCCTGAGGCCCCCCCCGCCACCCCCCACAAATCTCCTGCTGTCCCCCACAGCCAGTAACCTGCCCTTTTACTACAGAGGAAATAAGCCCCAACTCGACGCAATGAGCTCCTCTGAGCGGCCAAAGTGCAGGTCTGCTCACGTGGCTCTCTTTAATGGGTCCCATGCTTGGGGTTGAGTCCAAACTACCCAGAGCAGTTATCAAGTGTACCAGGCTCTCCCTGCTCTTTTCATCCTCACCTTGAACCTTCATTTCAATTCCCTGAACAGGTGAGGCACTGACCATGCCGAACTTTCTCCCTGGGAACTCTCTTCCCTTGCTGTCTACGTCCACTCCTCCTTCAGAGCCTGGCTTGCCTGAACTTCCTTATCTCACTCCAAGCTGGGTATCTTCGTACCGGCCTCACAACCACCCTCTCACCTGCAAAGAAATGGGACGTAAGCCCTTCAGGGGCACCGATCCCATTTGTTTGTCACTGTATTCCCATCACCCTGTATGATGACTGGTGTGAAGGAGACACTCATACATGAAATTAGAACAAATTCCCATAGGTTTACATTTTTGCATTGTTTAGCCAATCACACCATCATAACTTAAGTGATAAATATGCATTTTAGTGCATATTTTAGGTATACCACAAAAAATCATTTGAAATGAGAGTATGAAGAAAATTATTTTAAGCTTACTTTCCCTAAAATTGATCCCAGCTGCACTGACCAGTATTTCTCTCCTTTAGCCTGTTCTGCCATATGATACATGCTCCATGGATTTCTACCGCCAGAAAGAAATCTTATGTCTTCGGATTCTAAAAATGGCCAAAATGGTGTACCTGTACATGTTTCAGTCCAGAGTGACAAAGATTGAAAACATAAAAATTAATCCTCAGCTTGTACACAAATGTTCATAACAGCATCACTCATGGTAGCCTATAAGAGGGAACAACTTAAGTGTGTATCAGCCGATGACCAGATAAACAAAATGTGGCATACTCTCTACAATGGAATAGTATTTAGCCATAAAAAGGAAATGAAATACTGATTTGTGGTACAACACGATGAACTTTGAAAACATCATGCAAAGTAAAAGAAGCCATTCATAAAGGCCCACGTTTTGTGTGATTCCATCTCTGTGAACTGTCCAGAACAGGCAAATCTACGTGGAGAGAAAGTAGACTAGCAGCTGCTTGGGGATGTGGGTGGGACAGAGACTGGGGAGTGATGATTAAGGAGTCCTGGGTTTCTTTTGGAGTAATGAAAATGTTCTGAAACTGGTTACGATGGCGGCTGCAGAAGGCCAAAAATACACTAAAAACCATGGACTTGTGTACTTTAAATGGGTGAATTGTATATGACTTGTATCACAATAAAGTTATTAGAGCCAATAAAATCAGTCCTCATTACCAAAATCACAGTAACACAAAAGCCCCTCAATGGCTCCCTGCGTCTGACCAAGGCCCCCATCAGAGAGCATGTGTGATGCGTGCCAGGAGCTCAGTAAATACTTTCTGAACTGACATTTAACTGGATAAGAAAGTTAACTGTTATTCCATACTATACCCATTCTTAGAAGAGATAAATAACCCAGAAGCATGCAGCTCTATAAAACATAACCGCTGACACACCCTGACCCGGCCGCCTACCACGCTGGTGCCAGTGCCGGCCCGGATGAGCGACTTCGCCCCAGCGTGGGCTCATCACACCTGCCCGCGGACGCTGGAGACCAGCTCCAGACAGCCCAGACGTCTTCTGTGACATTTTTATTCTCTGGCTGCTTTCGATATTTTTCTCATCACTGGTTTAAAGCAACTCGATTATGATGTGCCTTGGTGTGATTTTCATGTTTCTTGTGCTTGGCATTCATCAAATTCAGATTTGTATGTTTATAGTTTTAATCAAATTTGGAAACCACTGTTTCTCTGAGTATTTTTTTACCTGGCCCCTCTTTCAGGGACTCCAAATTATGCCTATTACCAACTATAGTTGTCCCATAGTTTCCTAATGCTCTGTTCACTGTTTGAACTTTTTTCTTTTTATTCTTTTCTGATAGTTTCTATTGCTATGGCTTTACATCCACTAATCTTTTCTTCTGCTCTGCCATATCTGATGTCGATTCTGTGGAGACATAGTTTTTACACCTACAAGTTCAATTTGTGTGTGTGTGTGTGTGTGTGTGTGTGTTATTTTCTGTGTCTGTTCTTTAACCGGCTCGTGCTTTCCTCTGCCTCTGGGACACACGGAACGGAGTCACAGCGACTGCCTCAGTGTCCGTGTCTGCTGATTCTGTCAGCTGTGCCCTTTCGGGGTCTTCGCCAAGTTGGTTGTTTTTTCTCCTCATTGTTGGTCATGTCTCGCACTTCTTTGCATGCTTGCTAACTTTTGATTGGTTACCAGATGTGTTGAATTCTACCTAGTGGGGTGCTAGATATTTTCATACTTCTTTAAATATTCTTGAGCTTTTTGGGGGTGCAGTTGAGTTATGTGGCAATAGTTTGATCTGGCAGGCTTCCTTTTCAGTTTTTTGTTTTTGTTTTTTTGGTAGGACCAGAGCAGCCTTTACACTAGGGCTAATTTACTTACTACTGAAGCAATCAATACCTTTATGAGCACTACAGCCAAGGCCTAGCATTATTACAGGGTTTTCCCCTCTGGTTAGTGAGAACATAAACTATTCCTGGCCCTGTGTGAACTCGGGGCTGTTCTGCCTGCTCCTTCTGGTGGCTCTTTCCCTGTCCGTGGTTGGTGTCCTCATAAGCACAAGCAGACAAGTGCTCAGCGAAGGCTTGAAGGGGATTCTCAGCAGGTCTCAAAAGCCTCTGTATCCAAACTTCCTCTAGAGAACAGTCTCCTAAAAATCCTCGCTGCCTTGGCCTCCCCCAACTCCCAACTTTATCTCCTCAGTTCAGAAAGATCCCAGTGTCTACAGAAGTTACCTCTCCTGGGGTCGAAACCTGGGCACTGGCCTCGGGTGGTAAATTGGGCAAACAAAGGGCTCACTGTTTGTGTTCCGGCCCTTGTGACCTGTTGTCCAACGTCCAGTGTCTGACTCCTACATTCTGTCAGGCTTTTAAAATTTAAGGTGAGAGCCCTGGCTGGTGTAGCTCAGCGGATTGAGCTCGGGCTGTAAAGCAAAGTGTTGCGGTTTGATTCCTAGTCAGGGCACATGCCTGGGTTGCGGGCCTGGTCCCCAGTGGGGGACACATGAGAAGCAACCACACATCGATGTCTCTCTCCCTCTCTTTCTCCTTCCCTTCCCCTCTCTCTAAAAATAAATAAAATATTTTTAAAAATTAAGGTGAGCACACACAGCGAGCAGCACATGCATAGCTGCAGCAGCGAACACCAATCTGAAGGGTGCCAGAGAGAGGGGGGATTCTATCTGTACTGGGGTGTGGGGTGGGGGGATAGGGGAGGCAGGACGGCCATGGCAGTGAGCAACTCCTGTTTTTTTGAAGAGGCGGGTGTATGGAAAGCCAGACAATAACTCCGTGCTGCAGTGGGAGTGCCCAGACAGACTTTTCCAAAGGGGAGTTGAGGCGTGCTGTGCAGGGATACCCTGTGCACCTACCCTGCCAGCAAGGGGAAAGGACTGAGGGTGCAGTTTGCTCCCACCCAGTTTGCACTCTCTCTGAGTGCAGCTGGGCAGAGAGATCATAAAGGTGCACAGAGAGGGGATTTCTGGGCCCCAGCCCAGCACAGCTGGAGGGCCAGAGGCTGTGCAGAGTGCAGAGTTTGGGCCCGTGTCTGCTGTGAGGGCAGTGGGCTGAGAACTGCAAGGGTAGGTGTGGAGCACCTGA